AAAGCATTCGATCGAGTGCCCCACAAACGGTTGCTCAAAAAGATTGCTTCCTTTGGAATTCAGGACCCACTCCTAGGTTGGCCATTGTCATATCTGAGCGGCCGTTCTCAGGTAGTTACCATAGTAGATCACCACTCCTTATCAAGCCCAATCACTAGTGGTGTTATCCAGTGGAGTGTACTTGGTCCGTTACTGTTGCTGCTCTACGTCAATGACATGATGCGTTTATCAGACATAGCATGCCTCTCTTATTTGAAGATGACATATAGTCTACAAATTCCGACGAGCTGTACTTCAAGATACACTACTGTTCATATAGGAAGATCTCCACTCCCTTGAAAAATTGTGACACTTGGCGAAAAATCTAGCATCATGTATCGCGGTTTTTCGATACGCGAGGGATCAATTACACTCAACGAGGAACACCTTTGTGTACAACTGTCTACCCGCGACCCCCCACATCAGGTATACTCGCACTTTCAACTTTTCTGAACAAGTGGAATAACAGCCGGCTAGGGCCAGAAAATCAATGGCTAATATACTGTTTAAGATCCACATAACCCCAGCCAGAGTAGAAATCTTCAAAATCCTCACTCGCCCCATTTTGGAATACTGCAGTATCATTTATGGCAACATGAGGAAATCTGGGAATCTCTGGAAAGCACACAAAAGTCATCCACCAAACGTCTGCTAGGCAAAACATCCGCTAACAACTACCGGGAGCGCTGCCAACAATTCCAGCTCGATCCGTTTTGGCTATGAAGATTGAGACATAATCTGATGCTTCTGTACAACACGATTCATCAAAAGGCCCACTGCTATTTGGCCTCCCTAGAACTACAAGATAGTTCGACAAGGGATCTACGCAATAAGTAGTTTATCCTGAGTACATCCACGTGCAGGGTAAATCTGCGGTCCAACTTTTTCCTTATCAGGTATGCTGCCCTGTGGAGTAAGCTCCCAGTCACAATCAGATCGTGTGAGAGCGCAACGGCTTCTTGCGTTAAGCTCACCAATTACCTAGATTTGAACACGATTATGACCCTGTTCTCTTGGGAGAAATCACGATGATTTGTACCAAGAATGGCCAGACAACATCTGATGAGTGAAATAAAAAATTTCACACTGTGTGACACCTCTAGTGCTGTTGCCATGCCCTATTCCAACTAGTGCACATTGCGTTGAAACACACCTGTGAGTAAATACAAACCTATGAAACAGCAAAAAGAATGGAAAGCACAACTGTTTACAATTCATGCATGAGTATGACATTCTGTAAAACATAATCTGTGCCAAATATGGCCACAGTTACCCACTCGATGACAAACATGCCTATTATTATTACTTCACAGCTCCGAAATCCTTTAGGCACCTGGGGCGATTTTTTGGTCTAGTCAATTGCCACAGGCGTTTTATTTTACGCTGCGCCCGAATCATGCAGCCTGTGACTGATCCCCTTAGATATAACTTCGAGTTTCCAGATACAACACACATGGCTTTCCCCGAGTCCAAGGATACCAGTTCAAACACAGCTCACCTAGCTGACTTCGAAATATCTGCTCTTCTTTCTCTTGCAACTAACACTTCAGACGTTGCGGTGGTGGGCAGTGACAACCCTCTCGGTTTTTACAACAAATGTCTGCAACCATCGGAGTCCCACTGCAGCAGGTTTGATAGAGAACTGATTGCCATCCGTTCGATTGCTACCCGTCACTTCTGATGGATTTCACGGCCTACACCGATTACAAACCGCTGCTTTTTGCGTTCAACTCAATTTGACAAATATTAACTACAGGAAACTTGAAAGCCCGAGTTTGTCACGCAGTCCACTGCTGACATACGTCATGTCTCAGGTGTCGCGGATGCTCTCTCTCACATCAACCTTACACTTCACTCCGTCTATTGTTTACCTTTCCTTCACTGCATGGGCTCAGACATAAGACGAAGACCGCCAACGCACTCTGAAGTCCACTTCACTGCATGTGCAACCTGTTCATCTCCGCACAGAACTATCCTTTGTGACATTTCCACAGACGCACAGTCTGTACTCAGTCTCATCCTGGTATTCGTGCGTTTTTAAAACTGGTCACTGAGCGTTCCGTTTGGCCAAGCGTAAACAAAGATGTTTGTAACTAGGCTCGAGCCTGTCTTCACTATCAGCGATACAAGGTACATCGACACACCCGTAGTCCTCTCGGCTCCTTCCCTATCTCGGACATCATACGTACACTTGAACCTGGCAGGAACCTTACCTCATTCTTTTGGATTTGAATACGTACTGACACGTGTCCACCGCTTCACTAGATGGCCAGAAGGCATACATACACCAGACTACACGGCGGAAACTATCGTCAGTGCATTCCAGGACCGTTGCGTGTCCCACTACAGAAGCCCAAGCACCATCACAACAGACCGTGGAACGCTTTTTGAGTCCTCGTAATCCGATATGCTCTGTAAAACTACAGGCTGCCGCCGAATTTACACAACGCCACATCACCGACCAGGTAGTGGTCTACTCGAGCACTATCTTGCCACTTCTGACCCTGATTGGGCGAAGACATTTCGCTAGTTCTTCTAGGTATTCGCAGCAACATCAAAGCTGACCTGCAGTGCGCACCAGCAGAGCTAGTGAACAACAGTTAAGCTAGCAGGGGAGTTCATCTCGCCCCTATGCATCGTGTATGTCAACGGCAAACTTCGCAAGATCCCATTCACAGCGCACGCGCTCGCTGCGCAAGACCATTCCTCGTGAGCAAACCAGAGGTGCACAAATGCACAGTGGACTTTCTACCCGCTGTTCGCGCAGACAGTGCGTCGACCTCTTCAGCCACCTTACACCGGTTCATCTACAATTCTCCAACCAACTCCTAAGCGCCTTATCTTAGATCAGAATGGTCACTGAACAACGGTGTCCATAGGTCGTCTCAAGGTTACACTCTTCGAAGACCCGCCTCCAATCACACGAGATACGACCGCACAGATAGGCCCACCTGTAACGGCATCCTCCGCACCGAGCACCCTAGATTCGTCTGTTACCCTTGACCGTCCGCCAACTCCACCCCCGGCAATTGACCGACGCAGTAGACAGGTCGAACGTCAGGTCCGCTTTTCACATTTTGTTAGCGCTCGCATGTTAAAACATGCGAGTTTTCACCTTTTATGCTAATCGCGTTTTATTCACAAACGTTCTACAAACAAAAAAACCCCAAAACTTTGAAAATCCAAAAGTGTACTCTCTTTTGCTTCGTATACTTGCCTCATGTTCCATACGACATCACACCGCCTTTCTTGACAAGTCCCACTCTACTGGAGTGTTAAATTCCAGAACCTAAATCATTGGAAAAAAAGCACGGCATCCCTGGCCAAATTTCCCGAGGTCGCACATCCATCGCCATGGCACAAAGCGGCCGACTTCCCCGTCTTACAGATGGTAGCAATAGCTAGTCTGGCCCATGAGCGGGTGGCTACGTTTCACCTGTGCCGAAATCTGGGATTGTCCGCGGGACAAGGATCGTCTTGGCCGTTGACTGAGGTGCGGAGGGAGAAATTTCACCCAAGCGCACCGTCGGAATTGCACCGGAGGAAAAGTACTACTGGCCTTGTTATAGACTAGCCAGTTTTTTGCAGTCCGACAATCCCGCCACAATGAACCACCGATGATGCAATTCATTCCGCATCCTACCAATAAATGACAAAGAATATTGGGTCCAAGGAACTCCACACTTTTCCTTTCTGTGATGCCTGTGCCAACTCCAGTTGTTATCCGACGCTCCCATCCACGCATTATGTCCCCATCTGACATCCCTATCGAAGCGTTCCCTGAATCAGCCTTATAGGGGTAGATCCCTGTAGTAAACACGAAGTATATGCGTCTTCAGTACTTCGTGAAAATGGATTTTAGTGCTGTCTGTATTCGCTAGTGATCTATTTGTTCCACTGATATTACATCCCGTGAGCTTTCGAGTTCTCCGTGAATCGTGCGCTATCTTGCTTTTGTCAATCCACTCCAAGTTCATTGCAGCTCTGTATAATGCACGTTGGGTCCGGCAACATTCACAATTCTGAATGATCGTTATCCATAGTTGTTCCTACTGGCCCTGTTCGGAGCCAGTTCCTGAGTTTGGATCTACACGTATTACCACAAGTGTTACATCATGAAGGGTCCCGTTAGGAAGTTACCAGGTGCAACTTCTTATGATTGATGGGGGAGTAGAGCGGTTTTATGCTCATTCACCAAGCTGAATCAGTCTACCGACAGACGGGTCGGGTTAAGATAGCTCGCAACGTATTTGACAGCTCCACCCACGTATTTTGTGCATGCAGCTATTGACCCTAGCAATCTCAAGCGTTTCAGCGATTTACCTTTGGGAGATCGATCTAGATGTCGTCCAAGTGTGTTTCATGCCCTGTGTCTAATATGTGCCGTCGAATGTCTTAGTAAAGCATTGGATGCGGGCTCATTTCTCAGTAGCCGTGACATGCGCTCCCTTATGTTTTCCGATCCTAGCAAGCATCACTTTCGTGTATGTCTACGAAACAGAATTTGCAGACAAATTGTTGTCATATCTACGCGATGAGTTCATAAAATGCAGCAGTGTCGAAGAAAACATTTGATGCTTTGGGAAGTTTACCCTATTTTCTTCTTGTTTAGCACATTCTGGATAGGTTCTGAAGTCCCTTACAAAGAATTCCTACCATTTAAAAACCATTCTGTGGTTCGTCCTGAGTGTAGGCCCTACACCTTTTGCAGCTGGTGCTTCACTAACCATTTGGGATATTTACTGTCTAATAGTTTGTTCACTGCCTCCGTCCGAGCGGCTCACCTATTCTCTTCCTCTGTGCACAGTCTGGAGCTTGTGAAAGGAAATTGAAGTGACCCAAGCGTATAAGTGCTTTGGGTGACCTGAGCTGTCAGTTTACGATATATAGTTGTGTTTTAGATCTCCATTTTGGTGAATCAAATAGCTAAGGAACGTAAATGTACCAGCAGAAAACCAATTCCATGGTAGAGCGTGTAATTTCACTAACAGAATTCAAATGATGTAAGAATGCCCCTTTCTCATTCCGTTTTATGAGAAAAAGGTGTCGTCGATGTTGCACCAGCGAATTTTTTGGAGACACTAGAATTTGTCCGCGCTCTCTTCTAAAGAAAACGTACAAATTTGTCAACACGGGGATGTTTGCGATTCAAAGTCAAGACCCTGTTACTGAGTATGTAGCCTAAATTGGAATGGGAAATAGGACATGTCAAGGTATCAAGTCAATGCTTCGATTATTTGATCTAACGTCAGCTTCGTTCAGTCTTCCGGATTAACGTCCAGACATAAGGAAGCTGGGAACTAAGACCGACGTGCTTAACTCCATAATGCGTGATGAAACATAGTAGTACAATCATGCTACCTCGGCATACAGCCAGAATAAACCAAATAAGGTGAAGAGTCCGCCGGACCCTCATCTTGTTACGAAAGTAAATTAGCGCGAGCCAAGAAACACGGCAAAAGGTCGGAAAACATTAGTCAAAAATGTTGGGCGAAAGATGAACAAAAATATGGCAGAAAATGAGGCGTGATAAGAGTTTACAGTTCTGTACTGACGATGGTCATCTACGTAGAGTAAAATTCGTCATGCGCGCGACTAAATGCAACGGAAGAAAAACAATCATGACACAAGTTCAACGGAAATTGACTTCTGTTCAGCCCTATGATGTGTACATAGCAAGTAATGTTGATGTAGGGAAATGAAAAGTGAGTTAAAATAAAAATATGGACCAAGCAAGAGAGAGAAAAGAAGTAAAGCAAGACAAAATGAAGTGCTCTTTCAGGGAAGGAAGAGCTAACACATGAGATACTAACAAGTGGTCTCTCGAAGTGAGTGAGTAGAAAACCAAACTGAGCCTTCAGATTTCAAACAGGGTGATTAGATCTTCTGGAGAAAGAATACGAATGCGTGGCTCCTTGTTTGGATACCGGCACGGATGTCCAAAGAGCTGAAACCGTAATGAGAGAGAGCAAAAACTCGTAAGGGATTCGCATATGGGTAATCAAACTATGTTTAATTTAAGCACATGAGCCTGTTTCAGTCTTTGGATATAAACTGGGTTGCAGATTACAACTGAAACAATAGGGGACCGGAAGTGCACGCGTTCAAAAAGTAAGGCATACCGTGGAACAATTCCGAACACCTCATTTTGCGAGACGTTTGTTCCGCTCAATGATCCCATCGCCGGGATTCACACTTCGCCTTAATCAAAATTTTGTGTGCTCCGGAACACAATCGTGTTTATGTTATTTGACCCTAAGTGTTCCACGTTCAGTTGCATGTTGTAAATTTATCTTACTACATTCGATTCCACACACCTTTACCTCATTTCAATTTGATGTGGACAAGTCCACTCTTGTAGAGATGGTGTTTCAAACTTTATAATTCGTACCCCTCCTCCGTTTGAACTATGATGTACAGCCTGTGACTGTTACATTGATACTCCTAAGCAAGCCTCACGGTGCACAAGTCGTGCTGTCAAAGACATCACATACTTGAAACCCTATTGTGGATGTAGGTCATCCTTTAAAAATCATTTCGTTCGACAGCTTCTATGTGTTTCCTTCACCCCTCACTGCGAACCGTCGAAAGCTTACAATGGTAGATTCCACGCTCACGACTCTAGGTAGCATCCACTTGTCACCTAAAAGAAAATCGATATAGCATCAAAAGTGCCTTGTAAGTGCACAGGGATCTACGGTGAATGAAATAAAGAATAAGAAGAGGGACAGAAGGGGGACTTACCTGAAAACCTTAATGCCCTAAGCAAACGTTCAGGGTCAAGGTGCCTACACCTCGTGTAGACAACATACTGTCACAAACAGCTGGCTATCGTGCAAAGATAAGGCGGCATCGGCGAGACAGCTTCCTTGCGGCTTTCACTGCCACGCGTCATAATCAGCCATTACCCCGCAGATAACTCAGCACCAAACACACTTTAAACAGGCAATCCGATTAGGAGACAACAGCAGACGCGCCACTGGTGCAGGTTGCAAACCATATTCTGTCAAGTCTCGAGCCAAGCACAAGGCGAGTCACGTGGACTCCAGCCCGGAAGGCGAGACGGACTAACGGCACCCAATCCGCTCGTTAGTGACTTCATTTCCCGCCGCTAAGTCAACTTCTGTCCACCTCGAGCCTTGCGCCACCCTACACCTGGCAGACCAAACAACGCTCTCCTACGTAAGCGGTGACCAGGCATACGTAGCACGTGCCCGAGCCAACGCAACTTATTCAGTGCTATCTGTTGTTCTAGAGAGCCAGCAGGATTATCACTTCCTAGTACTCGCCTACGCACATCATCGTTGCGGACACGCTGGTGCCATCCGACACCAACAATGCTTCGCAGACAACGATGATCAAAGACTTGAAGGCGACTCAGTTCTTCAGACCGAAGCGGCCAAGTTTCACTACCATGGAGCAGAACGGCCCTCACTGTGGCCTTGTATACACGGCCTTTCAGACGAAGAGAAACTCACCTCTGTCGCCAAACAAGCCGCAGATTCAAGAAGGCAGCTCTGGTCCTTGCAATGCGTGAACTGATATCAGTTTCTATGCGCCCATCATTGCTGATGCAGCTGCCAAGATAAGTGAAATGATCAACCACCTCGAATTCCTCGTTAGCAAGCGTCAAGGGGTCATCAAGTGGCTGGTGGTCCCGCAGCAACACTTTGCACTTTGAAGGTGCGAAGTGTATACCAAATAATGAGACCACTCTGGACAGGCTATTCAGGGTTGATTGTGCCGCCCCAACATCGTCGAAAAGCAAGACGATATCGTCTGCATAATCTAGATCAACTAATCTTTCACCACGCAGCACTACGACGCCTACATCGTGAGATTCCGCAAGGGAACACTCCATGATAGAATCCACGACGAAATTGAACAAAAATGGGGGAACCGGACAACCCTGACGGACGCCACTTGTGGTCGGAAAGCTATCCGATAGGACATCGTAGACCCTGACTCGGCCTGCAATGTTCGAGTATAGAGCACGAAGGATGTTCACATATTTCGTGGCAACACCTTCAGCGCAAGTATTTCGAACAGAATGCATCAGTCGACTGAATCGAACGCACTCTGAAAATCGAGGAACACAGCTGTTGTCGCTCTGCGGTATGCGTGGCGCTGCTCTAGCACCTGCCGCAAAGTGAATATATGGTTTATACAGCCACGTCCTGGGCGGAAACCTGCCTGCTCTTCTCTAATCCGAGATTACCGTTCCGCAGTGAGGCGACGAACGAGAATCGAGACCAGTAATTTTGTCACAACTGGCGTTAGGATAATACCTCTGTGGTTAGAACAGTCTGTGCGACTGCCCTTCTTGTGTATTGCCACTATAATCGATTCGCTCCAATTAACTGGCACACTCTCTTCGTTCCAGATACGTTCGAATAGGGAGGTCAGTGCTTTGCAGAGGATCTCACCTCCATCCCTAACTAGTGCAGGTGGGAGGGAATCCGGGCTAGAGGTACGAAAACGATTGAGGGCTATGATCGCGTTTCGGACGTCGGACTCAGACGGACGCTCTAAACTAACCGTCCATGGCTCGTCCTGCATCACCTGAGTAGGAAGAGGTCCGGGAGCGGGGGGCCAGATGAACTGATCTGCCCAACGAACCATACGGCGCTCTTTATTGTGCAGCAATGCACCCGCACTATCTCTGATTGTCTCAATGACGCCTAGTTTCTTGAGACAAGTGGTGCGGATCAGCTGGAAGAGCTTGTGGTAGTTGCCTACTGCTCCTGCCCCCTCCATTTGTTGAGCCCGACTGGTCCCCCAGGCTTCCTTGTCAGCACGTAGGCTCCGCTTTAGTTCGCGTCTAGCAGCTCGTCTGGTCACATTGTGCTCAGAGTCAGCCAAACACATGATGCGTGCAGTCCGCTACGAATGTCCAGAAGCTGCGGTACAGGCATTTATTGAACTGCCTGAAGGGTTACCCGTTTAGGCATGGTGTAGCTGCTTCCGCAAATGCTTTGAGCGCATAGAACTGTGTATGAACGCTGGTGGAGAATACTGCGAGAAAATGTAATGCTTATTAGTAAAAATAAAATCTTTTTGTGCATCCCGAAACTTATTGAACTACCTTCGTCCATCCCGACATCGACGAAACACGGCTTGCTCCTCGAGAGTCTGGCTTTCACGAGGGTCGCATCTATGGAGAACGACAGAAACAGGTAAGAGGCCACAGAGATTGATTATTCTATAACTGCCACGTTCCGAACGTAAACTTCCCTTGGAAATTGGGACAGAGCGGCACCAATATAGTGGAAACATTACTTGCACCCTCAGTTTAATGTTGTAACGCTGCGCTGCTTCGTCTGAGACTGCGACCATCTGTCTGCTCAAGCACGCGCCAAACCAATGGAAGGAAACCAAAAACTCAGGGTTCGGTAGACGGTATACTCTACATGACAGGTCGTCTCTATTTATTAATGAACCATACATACTAATTTTGGTAAGCATGGTCACCCGACGTTCGGTTTCTGGTCCTCAGCCAATGTGAGCGAGTTCCGTTCCGCTGGTTTGCCATGTTTGGCTGTCGTCCGCTTCCGTGTTCGACTCAACCCAAACCCAGAACGCCTGCCTGAATTCGTTGGTCAATCAATTCGCGCATGATCTCCAAATTTGGCAGATCGGACGAACGTGATTTCTCGCCCGTGCGCATGGCCTTCACACACAACTGTCTGATCACGTGCTACCCGGCAAGCTGACGCGCGCTGTAGCTACCGCGCGGAGTTGCCGCCTTGTGTGTGGACATTGACTCTACTTGGGTCTCTATTACCTCCTCATTCGAATCGTTTGCCCTTGGATCTGGTCGTATTTTTTTAACCCTGGGGTCCGCTTGCAGCCATCGCAGTTGCCTCCGTCTTTGAGTTGGCATTCATGATGATTTTTGTGGGGCCTGTGCAACCGGTTGTGTTTCTCTTTGGCGATCGGTTCCATTTTCCAACCCTAATGTACCTAGAAGTAGGTCCAACTGCAGCGCCGTCAGTTATTGAGATTTTCTACGCCGCGGAGGCAAGTGATTAGCGTGTCTGATCCACTTGTCATTTTCGACCATTATCTCATAAATAACCTTACCTCTCTTGCCAATAATCAATCTGCTAGATCATCTTCCCGGGGTTTGGAAATTTGGTGCGTAGACCAAATCACCAACCTGGAACCTACGGAAGCTGCTTGCCTGCTCTTTTGTCAATAACAATGGTTCTCATTTCTGGGGCAAAGGCTGCCATTGTTGGCATATGCTGTTGACTAACTGACAGAGCAAATTCAACTCGTTCATCCAATCGAGTCGCACCAAATTTAGCCTTGGCCGATCTGGCACAAAGCAAGTTGTGTGAATAAGTTGATCCCGGAAACTAAATTGACAGCGCAACTCTCCAAGCAATTTCACGGCACCCCGGATGTGTTTCGTGCTGTGTGGCTGGTGTGGACAAGCGGCGATCGTCCCAGCATGCACCATGTGTCTCGACAGATCAAAGTGATGTCTGATGCAGTATTCAGCTCCAGCTTAACTTCTTTGTCATTAATTTTCACCACAGTGTACTGACGTCTGCTGTGACCGTTAACTTGGAAAGTCGCCAACACAGTTTCGGTCACACCGGGCCATTCATTTAGGATCCAGTCTACCAGGGCAGCTTCAGCCCGGAGACTCAGAGCTCGACCGGTATTAGAAGCCGCGTCATCTCCGGATAAGTGCAATGAGAATGTGCCGCCAGAGTTGCATGTGGCGGATTGCAGAGTGAGCACAGAACTCTTCAGCTGCTAAGAAGTTATTTTACCTGAAAGGATAGGAAGCTGCATCCTCGCCTGTACAAAGCTAGATATCACATTCAAACAATCACAACAGCTTGCATTGAGATTGAAAGAATGAAATGGACGAAAACGTACTGGGTTACCAGTGGCTGAGGGAGAATACTAGGCAACGCAGAAGATAAAACCCAA